CGATCGCATGAGTTTTTGCGTCAACGAATATCGTTGGAGATTCTGCGAGGAAATGCAGCATCTATCCTTGGCACAATGAACGGAGTGGATAGTTTAAATGAAGTCTTGCTGTTGTGAATAAGATAGCGTATTTCTTTCTTTATTACCAGAACTTGTGCGATTATTAATAAAGATGCAACTCGAATTAAAGCAATCTGTCAAAACAAGTTCCAGAGTAAGGATCTGCGCGGCTCCGCGCGCTATCGTAAGCGGTGCTGGACCGAAACGGACATCCCCCATTCCTGGTTCCTATAATTTGAGGCATAGTGACGTTTTAAGAATCTGACTATAATGGTGCTCTTGTGCTTTTGAGTTTGTTCTGCTCTTTTATGCATTGAAATATTGGACAATCGTTTAGGCTGAGTTTTACCTTAACCAGACTTATTTATCCAGGAAATTAAATGGCACCATTTTTTGTTTGCTTTCCTGATTTGCATCTGTATCACTCGCGTTTCGTTATTAGAGAATCGTGATGGTGCATTGATTTTCGGATTTTTAAATCGTTCCCTTTTGAAATTTGGCGGTGCCTCCTCTATATGTATCCGAATTCTTTACGTATCCAAACGTATGCTAAGAACAAGTACAAATTTCGTACTAGAAACACCTTACATTTATAACATATCCTGTTCTTTCAATCTTTCGAATACTGCAATTTTAAAAGGCGTATTTATTGATATTACTTTACAACTTATCGTAATCTTAAGGTAATTACCATCGTATGTTTGAAAAGCTAGTCGACAGAATTCTGGAGGCGATGTTTGTCAGATTAGACTAGTACAGTAGTAGTCGCATACCAACTTTCAGTGCATTATACGATGTGCAACCGGAAGGCAATTGGCTAACGCAAACTGTATTGTCGTAATCGAGCCGATGGCCCGATTTTCACAAACCAGTTGACAACCAATTTAGAAAAGAATCCGCACGGTATGAAAAGGCTGTCACCAGGAAATTATTTTAGTTATTGAGTTTTACATTATACGGAGTATATCTGTACACTGTACTCGTACAGTAATCTAGGCATAATTTCTTTCGTTCTACAGGCTTGTATCAGTAATATGGCATACACGATGCACAGTGCTCATCTGATCTTCAAGCGGCACCCTCTCTGGGCGGTTAGTGTTGCGACGTCGTAAAGTTAGTCTCTAAAATCAGAGTGACGGTTACTGTACTTACTTGCGAAAATTTGGAATGTGGTTACAACTTCCCACGTCAATGAACCAAGATTTGCTACAGTAGTTGATTTTATAATTTTCCAAGTTTTATTACACTAGGGTAAGACAAGGTTCCAGCCGTGTCTCATCGACTTTTCATTGCTCGTTGGATAAAAAGATTTGCTCAGTTAGCGTGATCCTTCGAAGCATACAGTTGCATACTGTTTTGTTTAGAATTTTGCAAGCTCGCGCGATGCTGTCTTACAGCTGGGACGATAGAGAACACTCTTGTGTACGCCTGGAACGCGGTGGACGTCCTTGTCGACGGCCAGCTACAGCACGGCGACGTCATCGACGTGGCGGAGGGAGGCCCTGACCATCGATTTCCAATGTCCCGCAAAACGAACGCAGTTTGTCAAATACGGGCTCATCTTCCACTGCAACAACCGTCAGAATTTCTGGCCATGGGGAGAGCAGCCCGCACAGGTCCTACTGTCGTTATTCCGACGGCGCCTGGATCTGGTATCCAGGGCGCTCGTCTCCTGGGATTCTTCACCTCCCAAAACGTTGAAGTAGTGGATATTCAGCGCCCCTACGGAACTGTTAGGGAGCTGCTGCCCTGGCAACAGGTGCGCCTTCCCCCCTCGAACGCGATCTTGGAAGAGCGTCGCGTGGGCATTACGACTTTGTTATCCGCGATTGTCCCCTGCCTAGCGAAATAAGCGAATTGTTGTCGGAGGAGTCCCCGTCGTTCCGGGAGGTCTTCAAATACGAGCTCCACCAACTTTACAAAGTGTTGTGTACCTCGCTGCTCAGTCAGACATTTCGCTATCTGCAGCGCCGGACTGCCGCCCTGACCACGGAACAAGTGGTAGGTGTTACATGTTTTGTGCATCTTGTTTGTCTTACCGCTTACGATTAGGATTTTAGTACTTTAGAAACCACAATCACTCGGTCGAAACCTTTAATCATTTTTATTACTGGCAAATATTCTCACCAAAAATTTGTAGCACTTGGTTGATTTCCTGGGCGCCCTAAAAACTGCTACGCAAACAAGCATTTACCATATTTTTCATTTTTCTCGCTATTTTATATGAGCAGTTTTGATATCTTTTGATATGTGAAGCGAGAAGCGGATTACGCAGCGAAATCTTTCAAAGGATTTCAACGCATTGCGCCGTGGCGCAGTGGACTGCCTACGTGGATCTAACGACGCCGGGTTCGATTCCCCATCGGCGCCTTTTTCAGCCGTTTCTCGGATTCCCTCGGATTGCGCCCTGCTTAGACCCAATTGCAGTACCCTGTGCGGCTGCAATGGCGCCACTAACAAAAATGTAGCTTTTTGTTTTGCATTATAAACGCCTCTTCTAGGTGAATCGATATCGCTGATTTTGAATGTGTTGTCAGAAAAATTGTTTCAGTCGAAGAAAAGAAAATCTTTGGATAAAAGCAGAATTTGGGAAGAATTATTCAAAAAATTTAAAAACTTTTAAGGGTCTTCCTTTAGGATACTAATACAATTTTTCTGACAACATGTTAAGAATCGGCGATAAGTCCTGGAGTTTATAAAAAGCAAAAAAAATTTTTAATAATTGGCGGTATTCAAAAGTCACAATTTTTCCATCATAATAAAGATGTATTAAGTAATTCCACAGCCTTAGCCGACAGCAGAAACAGGCGGCCTGACAACAAAAAATATAAGGTTTAGTAGTGGCGTCATTGCAACCGCCCAAGTGATTTGAGGGTGAACGGAGCAGTCAGAAAAATGCGCTGAAATTATCCAGAGGTCAGATTTGCTATATAGAAGCCCTCAGGTCGCAGTATAGTTTATCAATAAATGTTGAATCTCTATGAAAATAAGTTCACGGGCGCGGGAGAGCAAACTACTCTGTAGTGTTTAACTGTTTGAATTGCAGGAAAAGGCGTACTGCCAGGCGGAGAATGACGAAGACCGGAGCTACTTACCCTGCATGTCGCACTGGATGCTCCGTGATATCTTCATCACCGGTCCCTGTAAAAAGAGAAAAGTAGATGACACGGAAGTCATCGAATCAGCCAGTGCGAAACTGCATCTCCCGAGTGAGCTGTTAGTGGAGATCGTCCAGTCGTTGGACTCCATCGAACGCGTCCACTGTCGACGTGTCTGTGCCCTGTGGAACACGCTACTCACGACGGACACTAACTTTCCCCACGTCTGGATTTCAGGCAGCGATGCGGATTACGGGAAGCCGGATTTCTGCGACGAGGGCATTTACTGGTCGACGGCTTGCTTGCTGAAATGCTACAGCAGCACCACGAAGATCATTACGCTCGTGCATCTGGACCTGGAGCAGTTCGACAAAGTGATCAAATTAATCAAGGAACTCCAAACCACCCGCTTATCGATGCTTTCACTCTACGGATGCAATTTCGGGGATGAAGCTGATTTTATTGAGGGTGTTGTTAGCGATATCGCCGATCTCATGGTGAAGTGCTCGTCGATTTGCGAACGAGTGGTGTGGAAAAAGTGCTGGCTCTTGGATCGCAATGTGCAAGCAAGGGTGATGCACCACGTGTTCGTCATTCCACCCAAAGAGGTGATGAAGCTGCAGCTGTGGGATCTCTTCGAGAACAATCTTGTCTTCCCGAAGCTGGTTAATCGATCTGCATTAACGGAATGGATTGCCGAGTGCATCGCTCGCAAGCGAACCGGCGTTATTGAAAACGTGAGTGTTGAGAGCAGCCGTTCGCCGTTTAATAGTTTCTGAATTAGTTGTGCATATCTTTTGTAGGTGCTTGATAATTACCAGAGCGTGGATCCGCGGCCGGCGACGGAGTACCGCAACCAGCAGTGGACCATGTCCACCATAGCAGGTGTCGATGTCAACAAGCTGACAGCACTGACAGCGGCCGTCCTGAGCGAAGGCATCGATAAACCTGGATAATAATTGAACTTATGTCGATCGCTGAGATTAGATAACTTTGCAATAAATTTATTCCACAAAAGTATTTACAGAGTAACCGTGGATAACCGTGTCTCTGCATGTCACATCCCAAACTAAAGGCTGTCGACGGGTAAGATTTCAAACGCCTGGCTCTTCCGGGCGCTTCCATTCTTACGCACAAAACCTACTGGTTACGGGTACGACTTAATACTGTACCTGCACTGCACAGCGCTCATAGTATGATATCATTTATGCTAACTTGCCAAGGACAATCAAAATTGACAATGTTATCGCGCAACACATTTCCGTAAGCTAAAACGAGAAATCATTAGTTGCTTACTAGTTACTGCCACTGCTCAGTGCTTACGACGGAAGACAACCCGCAAATGTTGACATTTCATGGAGATACGGCGCAAAAATCAAAACCAGTCAACTGATGACAGAATATAGTCGTACTCGTAGTGATTAGTCCGTACGTTAATCTCTTTACTCGTCCTTGCTATTATTCCATATTTTATTTTCTAGAATGTTCTCTTTTGTTTTGGGTTGAATATAGTTTTCCACACGGATATTCTTTGCGCCTATATAAGTCCGTGAGTGGCAGTACTTTGGCGTCGTCAGTTATCTCATTCTGAGTTTGTCAGTTTCGGAGTTCTGTAAAATTTAGCGTCGGAGATGGAGATCTCGCTTCGCGTAGATTCTTAGACTTAGCTATGCCACATTGAGATTATCAGCTCACACTGTGTCGTTGAGTGGGTCGGTAGGATGGATTATTTACGGTAATTATTCTTATCGTACTGATCTCTCCGTCACTGATATGAGCGGCGTCTGTAGCCAGCGTAACTGCGCTCACAGAGCCGTGAAAAGCCTAAAATGCCAACAGGAAAATACTCAGAAAAGAGCGAACAGCAGGAGGGCACAGTCATGAGCTACAAGTATAAGCCCGCTCTGACAAGATATAAAAAAAATTTACCCAAGATGCTACAAAAGAGCGTGACAGCCCAGGTGGTCGCGGGACATTTCTGCCGTGGACATTTCGCCACACGTTTTTCGTCGCGGCGGGTAATCTGTTTTGGGACAACCTGTTTTGCAACCGTTTTGTAGTGATTAGTTTGCGACATTAGGTCGCGCGACTTTTGGGGAGTGAAAAATTATAAATTGATTTATGGTAACGAACAGTCATATGGCTGTTGGCCACAAAAACGAGTTGTCCTTAGACGAAATGTCCGTAAAGCGAAATGTCCCGCGACGAACGGTCGCGTACCCAAAAAGAGGAATGGACACAAAGTGGCGAAGAGTCTTCAGTGGCCAGAGCCGTCCGTATCCGGCGATTCCGCCCTCGGCATCCTCATCCACACAAAACGCCGCGGCACCACGCTGCAGGCGGACCAGGAAAACGACTGCAGCGCCGCTTCGCACAACGACCAGGTGTCGGTGGCGGATCGTAGGTCTCCATCGCCGGATCACCAATAGCGTACAGACGGTCTTTACCGGCACCAGGCCGATGTGCACTTCTTTGGCAATATTCATGTCTCCTAATTAAAATGCTTATTATATATCCGTCAACGCATTAACAGTGTGGGCTCCACCCAAGAGCAGCGTACGGTACACTCACGTTTCAGCTTCCACTGGTTCGTTCGCAGGTTGTACGCTTCCACACAGGTCAACTTTGGGTTCACGTTATCGGGGGAACCGCCTACGGATTTGATACCGAACATGATAGTCAGTTGGAAGATGAGTTATGCACAGTCACGTTGCACGCTCATTTCGTTCTACCTGTATCTTTATATTGTCAGAGCGGCATCCGCTCTCTATAGGATCGTTCGATAGAACATTTCGATACATTTTGTATGCTTTGCCGATATCCTAATGTGCCTCTCGGCCTTAGAGTAAAGAGGTTGTGGGTTCGATTCCCTCAATCGGCAGATTTTTTGCAAGTCTGTGCGAGCCTAGCCCAGACCTTTCAATGTGCTCAATTTGTCCACAGGCTTGTACTGACCTGCCACATAGATGAGTCCATCGGGGCCCACGCATGCTGCAGCATCCGCGCGTGCTGTCGGCATCGGCGCTAGTTTCTCCCATTGGTCGCGTGCCGGATCATAGACGAACGCGACTCTCAGCCCGGCGTTTGTAGGTCTCCTTCACCGCCTCGGCACGGATAATTAGCGCAGCCCCCAAACACGAAGAGCCGGCTCCCGCACGGCACTAGCGTGCTGCTCCAAGCCACCCGAGGTCTGTGCGCTCTGGGGATCATCTGCTGAAGCCCTCTTCGTACGCGTACACCCGGTCGGCAGTCACGACGTACACCTGGTCCCTGACGACGACCGGCGACGCTATATGTTTCATGTGATCGCGAACCGGAAGCACCGCTAGGTCCGTCCACTGGTTCGCGGTGGCATCGTACACGTGAAGGTGCCGGCACTCGTCGCTACCCGCCTCCGTCAGAACGTAGACGAGAAGGCGCCCATTTTTCACTACATACACCGGGAAACCATGCCATCGGCTCTGGGGAGGCTCACACGGAAGGCTCCAGTTGTTGGAGGTTAACGGAGCCAAGCAGTGCAACACAGCAACAAGACGCCTACGGTTTCCGAATCCTTGCGTCGAACAGCGAAGGGAAATAATTACCGGCTCTGGAACGAGAAAGCCAACCAGAAAACTTCGATTTCGAATAATATTATTGTAAAAGGCTGCTGTCGGAGTACGACTGCACCCGGTTTAACATCTGCTCGTTTCTTAAAGTTTGATTTTATTGTTTATTTTTCCCAGCCATGCTGCAAGATTCTATAGATTGACACCCTAGCCAGAAAATGGCTATCTGCTGTGATGCGTATTAAATCAAAAATTTCGCTTTTCACGCAAAAGAATGTGTAAAAAGCATTACATTTCACATAAAAATAAAAAAAAACTTTCAAGGGAAGGAATTTCTGAAGGTAAGTGATATTTTTCGCTTGACATCACATTGTTTTTGACATCACATAGCCAAAAAAATTGTATACGATGCAATTGTGCAAGCAGCATCCGGTTGGGGGGTTATGGGTGAAATAAAATTTTAAATGCACTTAATCGTAATAAAATTAATAAAATTTAAAGTGCATTTAATAAAAAATAATTATTAAAAATAATTAATAATTAATTATTAAAAATAAATAATAAAATTTAAGTGCATTTAAAATTTTAAATGCACGGGGTGTATCAAAGGTCTCATTATCAACCAATCCACTTTATCAACCTATCAACCAATTTTGCAAGGAAGAACACATCACCATGCAGAATGTTTTTACACCGAACCAAGGTTGCAACATTTTTGACAAATTCTAAAATAATGGCTAAAGTATTTGAAATTCATTACAACACTGGGCCCATCACTATGCAAAGGAAAACGTACTTACCTCTTCCATAGGAGCTGCGTAGTGTGGATGTGCTGTGGGGTGCGGAGATGGACAGGATAGCCTGCTGAAAATGATTCCCAGCGGGCGTGTCAGGAAGGGAAGCATGATTCGCTGCCAGCAGATCTAAACGAATGAGTCCCGCCAGCTCAGCTGCATGCGATTGGCGCTCTTCGAAGGAATGATCCAGCCACCGCACAACCGCCGCGACCACCTGCTCTTCCTTCTCCACGTTCAGCTCGTCCGAGGCGATCAGCTTACTAATCTGCAGAATAAAACTACTTAATATTTTCAACCCCGTTATTTATAATTAACAATTCGAAACAGCCCAGCATACTTCGACAGCGTCCAGTTCGAGAAACTCCATCGAGTGGCAGAAGCTAGGAAAGTGCTCCAGCAAGAAGTCGTGGCACTCCTTCGTTAGATCGGCGCAGGAGAGTTGCTGCGCCCCACGGTAGATCGTCAGGCAGTTGGTTACGTCGATGTGCTCCCGTAAAAATGTCTGGCACGTTTCCACGATCTGTCCCAGTTCCAGCATGTCCGCTGCTTGGAGCAAAAGGAGCGCATTGCTGGCGTCCACGGAGATCTCGCAAGAGTACATGTAATCGACCAATCTGCAACGCATAAACAACATTCGCTAAACAAACAGCGAAAATGAGAACGCTCTAGGTACACTCACTGTTGCAGGATATCGTGGGGAACGTTGTGCAGTTGGATGGTGTCCTGTTTGGCCTCCTTCATGGGCGCGAGCAGCATGCGTCGGAACCAGAGGCTGTGTGCCATTAGCACGATGCGATGGCAGGGAATCCACTGAGATTCAGATTGGGTTGGATCATCCGCGCCCCGCACCGACACATCGCAGAAGTTGTGACGGGCATCTTGCAGCCCGCGGAAGAATTCCGACCCGTCAAGCCGGAGCGGGGTTGCGTCCTCGAAGAGTCGCCTGCGTTTGCGAGCTGGCGGTGAACTGCGTCTCGCACAACCAGCCATATCTGTTCAACCCAGTATGTGGTACGGCCACTGGCACCTTAAGAAAGAAACGAAGATCAGGTGTGAAGAATGTGAGCATGTGACTTTGTGAGCACTGAGCACTGGCATTCGAACAAGCCTCACACATGAATAAACTCACGTCAGTATCGGTCGACAGCAAATTTAGAAAAACAAGCCTCACGGGAAAAAAACGCTGCCACCACGAACTTATTTGATTTAATGAAAGATTTGAATTCTATCATTTCTACGAGGCTTGTGTCAGCAATAGCATAAGCCATACACACACTTCTCATCTGATCTGGACGACGGCACCCTCTATGGGCGGTTAGCGTTGCGACTTTGTTGAGTTAGTCTCTAAAGCTCGGAGCGACGGTTACCTGCGAAAATTTGGAATGTGGTTGCAACTTCTCTGCAATGAACCGGGATATCGTTTGTTGGTTTTGTATTTTTCAAGTTTTATTACATGAGGACTAGGTTCCAGCTTCTATTTCGACTTCTTTCTAATTGCTCGTCGGACGATTGTCAGCCAAAATTTTATTGCACTGCTCGTCAGTCGTCGAATACTGCTCAGCTGTTTGATCCTTCGAAGCATACTGTTTATTAGCAAGCTCGCACTGCGCGATGCTGTCTTACAGCTTCGACGATCAAAACCACGCGGTATACGCCTGGAACGCCGTGGACGTTCTGGTTGACGGCCAGCTGCAGCACGGGGACGTGATCAACATGACGGAGGGCGGCCTGATCATCGATTTTAAATGTCCCACAAAACGCGCGCAGTTCGTCAAATACGGGCTCATCTTCCACTGCAACAACCGTCAGAATTTCTGGCCCTGGGGGGAGCAGCCCGCGCAGGTCGTTCTGCGGCGCCATTCCGACGGCGCCTGGATCTGGTATCCAGGGGCGCTCGTCTCCTTGGGGTCTTTCACCTCCAACAATGTTGAACTGGTCGATATTCAGCGCCCGTACGGAACCGTCAGGGAGCTGCTGCCCTGGCAACAAGTGCGCCTTGCGCCCACGAACGCGGTCTTGGAAGAGCGTCGCGTGGGGCAGACCGACTTTGTTATCCGCGATTGTCCCATGCCCGGCGAATTGTGGTCGGAGGAGACCCCTCATTCCGGGAGATCTTCAAATACGAACTCGACCGACTGTACAGAGTGTTGTGCACCTCGATGCTCAGCCAGACATTTAGCTATCTGCAACGTCGGACTGAAACCCCCTGAATGCGGAGCAAGTGGTAAGAAAGCTCAAGCTGTGCGTGTAATGTGCATCCTAATCTCATTGTCTCCTAGAATTAGAAGGCCAGTTTCAGTTCGCCTTTAGACCTTAATCACAGTAGAGCTTTTACTTTTTTTTAAATGCCAAAAAAGTTTTACGCGGCAAGAATTTGGAGCGCACAGTTAAATGGTTGTGCGTGGGGGCAGCCCTAAAAACCTGTGCGGAGGGTGGGGGGGCAGCCCTAAAAATATGCTGCTGAAGTGGAAAGAAGTTCAAAGAACGTACCAAAAGAATGTTTCCCATTTTTCGTAATTGCACGTACCAAAAGTAAGCACCTGCCATCTGAAGTAATAAACTGATATATTTTTGTTACTTAAGCAATCATGTAAACTACTCAGGAAAATTAGAATCAAATGGCTCGATGAAAACGGAGGCAGGAGAAATAAATGGCTTGTACCACCTTTTCAGTTTTTCCACGGACTTCTAAAACCCTTTCATTCTTGTATTACTTTCGCCCCTGTCCAGTTTTCAACGGTAAATTGAAAGCGTTTACATCAAATAGTGAACTGAAGGGCTTTTGTATCTGTATGGATAATTAGGCCTAAAGGCATGTGTGATGGGAGACACAAAGTAAGGAAATTTTATTTTTGGTATGTCCTTTGTATGTATCCTTATTTTTTCTCGCTGCTTTAAATCAGCAGAAAAGTTTTAGTTTTGTCACCATACCCGATCTCCTAAAAAAAGTTCGAAAGAGATGCTGTCGCAGGTCTTTTCGACCTCCACACAACTATAGGCTTATATATTTATTTAAAAACAGCATTAACAGCATAAAAAAATAGAATTCACAAATAATTTATCATGTTTTTCAGTAAATTTTCTCGAATTGTTCGATTTGAATAAATTAACTTTAAAATTCTTTTCAAATACTGATGGCTATTTCCTGTTCGAAAAATTAAAGTTCAGTTATATACTTATATTAACAGATGGCGAAACACTCTGAAAAAATACATTCACGGGTGATAACATATTAGTGTTACTTCCTGTAGGAAAAGGCATACTGCGAGGCGGAGATGGACGAAGATCGGAGCTACCTACCCAGGATATCGCATTGGATGCTCCGTCATGCACCGAACACTGAACCCAGCAAAAAGAGAAAACTGGATGATACGGAAGTCATCGAATCAACCGATGCGAAACTGCATCTTCCGACGGAGCTGTTAGTGGAGATCTTCCAGTCATTGGACTCCATCGAACGGATCCGCTGTCGGTGTGTCTGTCCCCTGTGGAACACGTTGCTCACGACGGACACTAACTTTCCCCACGTCTGGATTTCCGGCAGCGATGTGGATTACGGGAAGCCGGATTTCTGCGACGAGGGCATTTACTGGTCGACGGCTTGCTTGCTGAAATGCTACAGCAGCACCACGAAGGTCATTACGCTCGTGCATCTGGATCTGGAGCAGTTCGACAAAATGATCAAATTAATCAAGGAACTGCAAACCAACCAATTACCGGTGCTTTCGCTGAACGGGTGCAATTTCGGCGATAGTGCTGATTTGGTTACGGGCGTAGTCGACTTTCTCACCGATCTTATGGGGAAGTGCTCGTCGATATGCGAAAGAGTGGTGTGGAAGAAGTGCTGGCTCTTCGATCGTACTTTGAACGCAACAGTTATGCACCATGAGTTTGTCGTTCCCCTCAAAGAGGCGATGCAGGTGAAGTTGTGGGATCTCTTGGAGAACAATCTGGTTCACCCGAAGCGGGTTGGTGGGTCTGCTTTAGCGAAATGGATTGCCGAGTGCACCGCTCGCGAACGAACCGGCGTTATTGAATACGTGAGTGTAGACTGTAGAAAGAATTGCGCCGTTGAGTGGTTTCTTAATCAGTTGTGCGAATGATTGCAGGCGCTTGTTAACTACCAGAGTGTGGATCCGCGGCCGACCACCGAGTACCGCAACCAGCAGTGGACCATGTCCACAGTCGCTGGCTTGGATGCTGACAAGCTGACCGCCCTGACAGCGGCCGTCTTAAGCGAAAACATCGATGTAGTTGCTCAGTTTTAATCTCAGATCGACAGTTTATGTTTTTTTCTACAAATTTTTGAAACTTTATTGGTCAAATCAAAGTTAACGCAAAATAAAGAAAGAAACACAAAAATTACAACCAGAGGATTTCATTTAATTTATCCAGCCCGTCCGTCGTGCCCAGCACCGACGCCGCATTACCGTTGAATTTCTATCGACAAACGCTGACGTAAATATTCATGCGAGCGTGCTTCGTCGGTTTGCTGCTGAGTCTTTTCCCCAATTCTTTGACAATTGCGATTGCTGACGGCCCCACAGGCCCAGGGTTTCAAAGGCGATTGGGACGAATAAGTTGCGGCCAAACAGGTACAAATAAAATTTGGATTTCTTATCCTCTGCTTGCACTGCGGCCGCTCCGCTGCGGTCGAGGTGGCTGAAATGTGACGGCGCAACCGTGTCTACATATCACGTCCCATGCGAGGCACAATCCACGTTTGCAGACAAACGTCGTGCAGCCGCCCGGAGGGCGTTCCGTGTCGTGAGAGGTACCACGAGGCTCCAGTTTGCGGGCACACCGGCAGACACATCCTATTTAACAAATGACGCTATTTAATCCGCCGTGGCGCGGGTGTCTTCCGGCGGAAAAGGCACATGACAGCCCAAGATGCACGTAACCATCCACGTGTTTGAGACATTTGACAGTTTATGTTGTGACGGGAACACTTAATACACGATCTAATAACCTGTATAAAACCAACGACTGCACGTTGTTTTCTGAGTTTTTTTATCACTTTTAATTCGTGTCTTTTTCGCTTAGAATAAAAACTTTTGCAGTAGGGTTATTCCACAAAACTATTTTAGGGTGTATTTGGTTTACATCGCAATCAAGAATCCGTGTTCGACAAATAAAGCCGTTCTCGGGCAGCTAAATTTGTTGTTCGGTAATGTTCGTGCCAAAACACTCGTCAATAGATTACAGTATATTCACCTTTTAATCACAATATGCAGTATATCGGCTGGCGCAGGATTTCAAGCGATTCAGTTGACAGAGACAAAAAATGCAGCTACAAAAATAACACTTGTTGCTACAATATAGGTTACGCTACCGCCATTAGAGCTTAAAGAATACAGGATCTTTCAAACTAGGTACAGTATTTAAACAAATCCGACGTCGAATGGCAGTTGAATAGTCTTCGAAGAACAACACTTCTCATTCTCGATACGAGGCACACGGAGGTGGAGGTTGCGGATTCGTTACACGTTGCATTCGACAATCGCGTAGTATCGTGTGGAAGAATTTCACTGCTTACCATGACGACTGAATGACATGACGTCATCGGAACGAACGATCTGCGCAATCGGCTTTGCGGCTATATCGGTACCGGATATAGCCCCTAAAGCCGATTCCGCCGATTAAAACAACGTTGTACTTACGTATTTTATGCGCAGTACTGCAATTGACGACAAGTCTTTTTTTAAAGGATATTACAAGCACCATTCTTTTCAAGCGATCAGCCCGGCTGTTTATCCGTTTGTCGGAGGTTTAGAATTTTCACTAAGGAATTGAGTTACACTAACCTTACCCTCGCGCGATCCAACTGGTCTCTGCAATATCCGACGTGTGCAAAATTGTGGCCATGTCAATGTACAATGCGGGCAACGGGTCGCAGGCCGAGTACCCGCCGAACGTCGTTGACGCCCTGGTCGATGGCCGGCTGCAGCGCGGCAAGGCCATCAGTGTGCTGGATGACGGCCTGATCGTTGATTTTGGCTGTACAAACCAGCGCTCGCAGTTTGTCGAATATGGACGCCTGTTTTACGCGCGGAAGCCTTCTTGTCACTATTATACGGATGTGCGACCTGAAGTGCAGGTTCTTCTTCGAGCTGGCCTCCACCGACCTTGGACCTGGTATCCCGGAACGGCGCTGGTGGTGGCACCGTGGGGATCGTTCCCTTACTGCGCAAATTACTCGGCCAATTTGTATATCGTGGAGGCCTGTCTGCCCCAAGGAACCGCGAGGGAGCTGGTGCCTAGGTACCAGGTGCGCCGACAGCTCCAGGATGCCGAAATGGCGGCCTACGCGGTGCGCCCCAGGGTAGTTAAAAAGCAACTTTAATTAACTGACGCGACTGTCAAAAAAAGCCTCCGTGACTGCAAAATGCGGGTCGCCTGATCCGGCGGGTCCCATCGGCCGCTCGATGTCTGCCAATAACTGATAATCTTTTTGTTGCAGACAATGAAATGGTTCACCTTGAAGCAACACATCGCTACGCTCCTAAACCTGAAACCGGACTGCACCCGTGCACTGCCACAGTATAAACTGGTACGTCGGGATAAATATTTCAACGTTGAGACTGATACACACGATGATGGGCGACTGAATCTGTGATCAACCGTTTTTTTTTCAGGAAGAAGAGGCAGTGAAGAAATGGATGGCCATTGGCGGTCAGAAATTGTTCCAATCCATACCCAGCGAACTGCTAGTGGAAGTCTTCCATTCGCTAGACAGCGTCACTCGCACCCGTTGCCGGCGCATCTGCGCTTTGTGGAACACGATTCTCACGGACACCCACTTCCCCAATGTGCGCGTTTCCGGGCGCCGCGGGGACTCAGCGTCGTTCAGCATGCCGTCCATGTTCTGGGCGCTGGCCTGCCTTCTGCGCTTCGTCAACAGCAGCACCAAGCTCGTCGTTCTGACGAACATGCATATGAGCGAATGCGCTGATGCGGCCGCTGTTGTGCGCTACGTGGTCGGCCGATACGGTAGCATCGGGACGCTGGTGCTGCACAACTGTTCGCTGCATTACACAGGCTGGCAGATGGGGAGACCATGCGGTGCCTCATGCACATCTGCGACACTGCGGAGATGGTGGTGTGGATGCGTTGTCGCATCACGGTGCAGCATCTGAAGGCTGTTGTGCCGCAGTACGTTCTTCCCGGCCACTCAAACGAAGAACTGGAGATGCAGCTGTGGGATCTCTTTGAAACGCATCTCGTTGTGAAGGAACCGGTCAATCTGGCGCGGTTGGCGGCGCGGATCGCCAATTCCATCAAGTATAATCCGTTTCCCCAGCTTCTGCCGGTAAATCGATTGCTCTCTGTTTGCTTGCTACCAAGTAAATATGTTAGGAGTTTTTTTATTTTTCATGGTATTCCTTGTTGTTTAGACACTAACACATTCCAGAGTACGGATCCCCGCTGTTCAACGCACTATCGGAAGCGTGATTGGGAAAAGAAGCATTCCCCGTGTCGACGTATACAACCTGACCTTGATCACCGCCGTGGCCTTGTTCGCTTTTCTGACATGGAAGTGCGTTAACTGAACATCGCATTCGTGCTGCTATAACTCACTAATTTTTATTGTTATAACCGATTTCTAATTCTTATCAAATTCTTCTGTGACATTGGGGTGTGTTTCGTTGTGTCGTTAGCAATTGTATGTGATTATATTCTGGTTACTAGCAGTAGCGGGAGTTTTTTTTACGTTTTCTTTGCGGGTCGCCAGCAGACGGCCAGCTGAATACCGAATTTTCAATTAGTTCAACGTTAACCAGCCAGTTACGTTTCTGCAGAGCTCTTGTAAAATCGATTTCTTATTAAAGCGTTCTTTATACAAGGTTCGACAGAACCGTACGGAAATTTTTGCAGTACGGTTTTTGTATTTGATGGAAATAGCGAGCATCCGGTATGCAAAGCTAAAACCTATGTTAAACGTTTCTAACAACTTTTCATTGGCATTCGGTAAAACGTTTGCAGCTGTGCACAGTCGACAGTATCCAAGCAAACAGCTGCTTCCTTCTCGTAGAACGCCGGCATGTGAAAGGTATGGTACAGTTTGGACGACATGGTAAAAAGTTGATTAAACAGTAGAGCGGGACAAAAGTCGCAAACAAACCGGCAGGCTGGCCGTCGAGCCCATGCGGATATCAGATCGAACAGCAGCGACCGAGGCAAGCAGCATGACTAGTCACTAATCACAACTTTACACGCGGGGTTATTTTTTATCTTATGAGAAATCTTCATGCAGCAATGTAAAGTTAAGGTACAAGTTAGTACAATGTGCTTTTCCCTGCACCGCCTAAAAAATATCAGAAAACGCAAGGCCGAACGCCAAGAGTTAAAGGGACGTTACCGAATTTAGTTCTTGACAAGAACAAGAACTTCTTGTTGACTTATAAATAAAATGTGCTATACTGCCACCCGCTAACGCCGACTACGTTTGAAACCGTTTTCCGTTTCTGCAGCATGTCCAATGGTGTCGCTCGATAAGCTGTGAAGTGTTTCCGTTTTCTATCTTTCAGTTTTCCGATTCTGAAGATTCTTTTTTCCTCGTACGATTTTTGACTGAGTAAGATTATCCGAAACAAGAACGCGGCGCTGTGGAGAAGTAACCAGTCGTTTTG